TGCCTCGGCCAGGGGCAGTGGCTCATGCCTGTAATCCCAGCATTTTGGGAGGCCTAGGTGGGAGGACTGCTTGAACTCAAGAGTTCAAGACCAGACTGGGCAACATAGCAAGACCTCAACTCTACAAAAAAAAAATAAATAAAACAATTCAGCTGGGCATGGTAGCACACACACGCTTATAGTCCCAGCTACTCAGGAGGCTGAGGCGGAAGGATTGCCTGAGTCCAGGGGGTTGAGGTTTTGGTAAGCCGTGCTTGTGCCACTGCACTCAAGGTTGGATGACAGAGTGAGACTCTGATTAAATAAGCAAACAACTTGCCTCAAGGAAGTTTGTGAGGGTTAAAGAGGAGAATAGAGGGATTTTGTCAACTGGCAAAGTATCTTTTACATAATCATCATCATCATCATCATCATCATCATCATTCTCCTCCTTCTCAATGTTTGACTTGGTTACCAGTTTGATACTGGTTAACGGGGTCTTAGCAAATCTGTGAACTTAGGCTCATACGTGTGTGTGTGTGTATGTGTGTGTGTGTGTGTGTGTGTGTGTGTGTGTGTGTGTGTGTGTGTAAAACAAAATATAACTGGATGCATTGGCTCATACTATAATCCCAGCACTTTGGGAGGCGGAGGTGAGAGGACTGCCTGAGCCTACGGGGTTGAGACCTGCCTGGGCAACTTAGTGAGACCTCATCTCTACAATAAATAAATTAAAAAAAATAAATTAGCCGGGCGTGGTAGCGCATGCCTGTAGTTCCAGCTACTTGGAAGGCTGGGGGAGGGAAGGATCGCCTAAGCCCAGCAGGTCAGGGCTGCGGTGGCCAGGAACGTGCCACTGCTCTCCAGCCTGGGTAACAGAATGAGACTCCAACTCAAAAAAAAAGAAAAGAAAAGAAAAGAAAACCAGGGTGTTGTTGGGGAAATAATCTCAGTGTCCAATAATGTGAACTTTAGATATTGCACAATTTCTGTATCATGTTTTAGAGAAATATTGAACTGTGTGAAAAAATGCTCACAATATGTTACTAAGTGAAAAAGGCAAAGTGCAAAATAATACATATTGTAACAATAGGTAGAAGGCTTCTTTTCGGGGTGATTAAAAAGTTTTGAAAATAGTGTTGATGGTTGCACATCATAGTAAATATACTAAAAGTCATTGAATTGTATACTTTAAAATGGTTGATTTTGTTATGTAAATTATATCTCAAAATTAAAAATCTGTATGTAATGCATAAAACAATATATACATACATTAATTTGTATACACAAAAGATCAGATAGCCACATAATACATTGTTACCATTGGTTCTCTCAGTTGGTATGCTTACAGACAATTACAGATAACTGCAAAAGTTTCATCTTAGAAAATGAATTATGTATAAATATAAAAGAGGGATTTAGGAAAAGTCACTTTTGCATAATTCTCATTTTGTTTAGAGCATTAACTCACTAAATAATATTTTCAGAAAACCTCATCTTGACTAGACCATTTTTTTTTTTTTTTTAGTTGGAGTCTCACTCGGTCCCCCAGACTGGAGTGCAGTGGCCGCTCCCAGCCACTGCAGCCTCGACCTGCTGGGCTTTGGTGATCCTTCCACCTCAGTCTTCCAAGTAGCTGGAACTACAGGCATGCGCTACCACACCCGACTAATGTTTTGATTTATTGTAGAGATGAGGTCTCGCCAAGTTGTCCAGGCTGGTCTCGAACCCGTGGGCTCAGGCTATCCTCTTACCTTGGCCTCCCAAAGTACTAGGATTATAGGCATGAACTACTGTGCTCGGTCAGCAATACATTTTAGCTTATAGAATAAAACATCAGTTTTAGCAGCAGAATCCTGTTTTCTTTTTCTTTCTTTTTTTTTGTGTTGGAGTCTCACTCAGTCACCAGTCTGGAGTGCAGTGGCACGCTCATGGCCACCACAGTTTCAACCTGCTGGGCTCAGATGATCCTTCCACCTCAGTCTTCCAAGTAGCTAGAACTACAGGCATGGGCCACCATGCTCAGCTATTTTTTGATTTATTGGAGAGACGAGGTCTCACCAAATTGTCCATGCATGTCTCAAACCCCTGGGCTCAGACAATCTTCTCGTCTCTGAATCCTTAAGTACTGGGATTACAGCGTCAGCCACCACGCCCAGCTAGAATTTTCAAATGAAATTACAGAGCAAAGTTGAGGGGTCTTGAGACCCTCCCAAAACACCATCTGAATCAAATTATCAAAGTTAACATCATTAATGAGACCTATTGATAACATGTGCCACCTGATAAAATGCACTAAAAAGATTGTAACATTGCTTCTGTGCTGTTTGTGCCAAAAATGCATAACCTAATTCTAATAATAAGCAAACATTAGAAAAGCCAAAGTGAAGGGACATTATACAAACTAAGTAGCCAGCACTCTTTAAAAATGTTAGTTCATGCCGGGTTCGGTGGCTCAGCCTGTAATCCTGCACTTTGGGAGGCCGAGGTGAGTGAATTGCCTGAGCCCACAGGTTTGAGACCTGCCTGGGCAAC